GCTGTAGATCAACTGAAGATCTATTGTTATATCTCTGGTCTACATCTGGTCTACCCACTGCATGGATTACAGTTTACAGTTTCTAAGTTTGATATCTAAGAAGAACTTGAAACAGCACTGGCAAATCAAACAAAGCATCTGCTTGGATTTGTCTAAAAGAAATCTCCAAGTATCAGTAGACTGGATATACCAAATATCTTACTCTTACCATTCTTATCCATACCAAATCTCAATGTAAATAACAATTGTCACAAAGTTGCTTTGAAATAGATTGGGTGAATTGTGTGATACCACATGGCAAGTTTGTTTGTTTAAACATTTTACTTGCAATATTTTATTAACTGAAATGTATACAATGGGTTAAGATTCTTTTTTAAAAAGTAATGAGCCTACCAAACCAGGGGTGAGCAACCTTTTGGCCCCAAATCTCCTCTTTCTGTCCTGAACCATCTTTTGGTCATTCTTACAATTGCTCAGCTTGCTAAAGAAGAAACAAATTGAGGTTTAAAACAGATTTTTTAAAAAACAAACAAAAAACAGTCCTATTCATTCTGTATCATGCTCACTATGGCCCTTGGATTCCCCCCAAATGGTCAGTGCTATTCGGATATAATACAACTACACATTTCTAAGTCCAACCCTCTGCTTAATAACAGAATAATAAAGTTGGGAAAGGACCTTGAAGTCTTCTAGTCTGGCAAAAAACCGTATACCATTTCAGACAAATGGTCTTCCAATCTCTTCTTAAAAACTTCCAGTGTTCGAGTATTCAGGAGGCAAGTTGTTCCACTGATTAATTGTTCTAACTGTCAGGAAATTTTTCCTTAGTTCTAAGTTGCTTCTCTCCTTGATTAGTTTCCATTCATTGCTTCTTGTCCTGGCCTCAGGTGCTTTGGAAAATAGCTTGACTCCCTCTTCTTTGTGGCAACCTCTGAAATATTGGAACACGGCTATCATATCACCCCTAGTCCTTCTTTTCATTAAACTAGAACTTCTTTTCATTAAACTAGAACTTCTTTTCATTAAACTAATGCTGAAATGCAAATTCAAAACCTCCAAAAATGACTATCCAGCCTTCACTTGAGCAAATCCAATAAAGGGAGTCACTGCTTCTTTTGGTATTAGGCTCTACTCTTGAACTGCTCTTTCTGTAACCTAAGTCTATTATATGCCTTTACTTTCTTGGATGATAAGAGTACAAACCTTGGCGGTTCTTCTGCAACACTAAATTAGCTTGGTAAGAAATGTGGAAGCTACTCATGTGCCCTGTTGGTTTGCAGCATAGTATCCCTTTGTAGTATTCACTGCTGAGATTAAACCTTTATTATTTAGCAATAGCTGTAGCAGTCTTCCCACTTTTCTAATATGTGGACCACTGCAAAAAACAAAATTAAGTCTGTTTTGCACCACGCTGTATATGTGTAATTTTGGTATGCAACTAAATTCCAGGCCCATAATCACATCCTTTTTCCTTCCATGGATATAGATACAATTTTTTTTTATTGGGATGTGAATTTGATGAAAGCAAATATATTTAAATCTTTGGGCAATGTTTATAGTATTCCCTTTATTTTTGTCACAGACGTTTCAGCTGGTATAATTTAGCTAGCATGATCATTTACTAATGAGCGGGTGGTTATGGGAGCAACATGGCGCTCCCATGTAACACCTCTCCTGCGCGAGCTGCACTGGCTCCCGGTGGTCTTCAGAGTGCACTTCAAGGTTTTGGTTACTACCTTTAAAGCGCTCCATGGCTTAGGACCTGGTTATCTACGGGACCGCCTGCTACCACCAATAGCCTCCCACCGGCCAGTATGCTCCCATAGAGAGGGGCTCCTCCGGGTGCTGGCGGCCAAACAATGTCGGCTGGCGGCCCCCAGGGGGAGAGCCTTCTCTGTGGGGGCACCTACGATCTGGAACGAGCTCCCCCCGGAGATATGGAGGATCCCGGATCTTCGCACCTTCCGTTGCGCGCTTAAAACGTTTTTATTTCATCAAGCTGGCCTGGCCTAAATCATCTCCTCTTTTAAATTTAAATTTTAAACATAAATTTTTAATCTGTTTAATTATGGGGTATTTTAAAATTCAGCCTAAATTATTTAATCTGTTTTAATTTATTTTAGATTTTGTATTTCCTGTGTTTTATCTTCTGGCTGTTCACCACCCTGAGTCCTTCGGGAGAAGGGCGGTATAGAAATTTAATAAAATAAATAAATAAATAAATAAATAAATAAATAAATAAATAAATAAATTCTCACAGCAGAATAAAAGTAAATAGACTTTAATTTATTCTTCTTGTTCCTTGGGATTCTTCTGTTCTGAAGTAAAATTAACAAGCACATTTATAAAATACAGTGAAACCTCTATTTATCAGATCTTGAGGCAATGGATTTCACATATAAAAGACCCAATTTCTGCTGTGATTTACAACATTGGTGTCATGCCATTATGTCACAAATGATGTCAATTAGATTCTGCAGAATAGTCAGTTTAATTAGCAATACCTTTTCTTTCTTTTTGAGGGAAAAAAAAGTTAAGGTAGACATAAAAGATAGCATGCAATGTGAAGTCCAGGCATGTAAATTAGCATATGGTCTGTTGCATGCCTGGTTGTTTTATTATTATGAACTTGAATTGACTCAGCACAACATGACATAAAACAATTTAGTTGTTTCTAGTTAAAACATGACTTTATGTGCTCTGACAGTCTTCTGGATGAAGTTCTACCTAAACCTACCCTTTCTTTAATAGTCTTTCCAACTGACTGGCACTATGAAATATCTCCCCAGGATTCAGAAGAATGAATTTGCTTTCTCATTTTGCCAAGTTACTTTTCAAAAATGTAAAAGAAGACTGAAATTATTCTGATAGAATATGAGGCTTCCATTGTTCAATATAAAAGAAACAAGAAGTGTAACATTCCTGAAATGTAGAGAGGAAATATAAAAGTAAGTTCATGAGAATATAACACGTCTCTTCAAAGATCAAACCAAAGGCCAATTTAAAGTCCCACATTTTATTTTAATAATAACCAAACAGATGCTTTTGGGAATTGCACAGGAAGGATAAAATATTTCACTTTTTGCCATTTATAGAGTAGAATTAGCACCAAAGCGTAAAGACAGTATAGTTTAAGATGGGCAAGAGACCCATATGTATGCTTCATTTTCTCCTTCACAAATATTGATTTAAGAAGCATAAATGCAGACACTAATAATGAACATTACTAGTACAACTTCAGAATCACATAGATTATAAGAAAGGAAAGAATAGATAGAGAAATACAATCAAGTCAACCTGGATTTTTCAGATGCAGGTTGCAAAATAGATCATGCATTATTGGTGTCAAATATATAGGTTAAACTTAGATGATTAAAGAAAATAGGTACCAGGCAGATGAATATAATGGACAGATTTAGTACCCTTAACATATGTGTAAGAGAATCTGAAAATCTATGGGGAGAGGTAAAAGACATTATGAAAACCAAAGCAGAGAAAAAGATATTCACAATATTTGAAAAAGCAAAGGATCACATCGACTTTTGGACTGCATCACCATGAAAGACAAGAATAGATAAAGACTGGGAACAAGAAGCAATATGACTATTAAAGGCAATCTTCCAGAGTTAAGCAAGAAATGATAAGGAAATGACAAGTGAAAATATCAACAAGTAGAGGAATAAAACAAGTGAAAAATGAAAGGTAGATTGAGAAAAATCCCAGGAAAAATTATAGTTACGGCAGAAATACAATAAAGAAGCATGGAAGTTGTGTAATAGATGCCAATCACATTAAAGGAAGATGGAAGAACTGTGGTGGACTGTGCTAACATCTTTTATAAAAGAGATAATAAAATAACAGAAATATACAATTGCACCAGAAAGTGTGACAGTACAAATAATAAGTAAACAAAGGAGAAGTAGACTGAGACGACTGAACAGACTGAAATATTCACTGAACTGTTTAAAACTGCAAAAGAGGCAATCAAGTGCTATCAACTCTGTCAATAAATATGGAACAAGATAATAGAGATTATCCAAGGAAGGGACTTGCACAGAATGTGCATTTATTGAAGCACGGCAATTAATTCCTCACATAAGAGAAAGGTCAAATGGTCAATCAGATTTTAGAAAAAGTAAAAAGTCAAAAAAATCACAGTGCCAAAATAAAATGGATACTCAAAACAGCAAAACACTGTCTGCTAAGAGACTTAAGAAAAAGACTTACAATTGCTTCATTGATTACACCAAGGCTTGTAAGTATTTAAATCATGCCAGAATAATGAATATATTAAGAGATAATAGATGAGCCCAAACATCTGATTACTCTTCTGAGGAAACTTTACAGTAAATAATAACTGAATTTGGATTAGCTGAGTAGCTCCGAATAGGAAAGGAAGTGAATCAAGGAGGCCTATTGTCCTAATATTTATTTATAAATGCTAGCCCATTAAAGGAATGGCAAGACTAAAAGGGATGGCAATTAGAATGAAAATTGGAAGACAAAATATGAACAGCAACATCTGGAGAATGACACGTTATTTGAAAAAATCAATTATAAAAGTAAATAGGAAAATAGGACAAAAATCATTTAATATTAAGAACCTAATATCAACCAGCATGCATGGTGAATTTATAGCAAAAGTGGACTTTAAAAATGAAAGTGATAGACAATTTTATTTTTCCGGACTCAAGGAAAAAAAAGATGGTGAATTTGTATCTATTAATCAAATTTGTATCTCATCAAAAGCAATTCTGGGTGATCAGATTAAAAACCACAACGTGGACAATGTAAATGACAAATGTAAACAAGCTCATAAAGGCTAACAAATATTTCAATGACAATAAAAATTAAGCCAGTTAAAGAACTGGACCTTCAATGATCATGTATGGCTATGAAGGCTGGAAACCGATAAACAAGAAAAAGAAAACAGACAGGGTTTATAGATACAGTTGCTGGATACAGTTGCTAAGAGTACCTTGGAAGAATCAAGTATCAAATAAAGGTTGACTGTGCCCTCACAGTTGTGATCAGCAACAGAAATTTGTATATTTGGGACATGTGGTGCCAGCAGACGCTACATCTGGAAAAATGTTTATGTTTGACAAGGATCAGGGAGCTGAAAACAGATAAGGTAAGATGGATAGATTTTTTTTGTTTGTTTAGTTTATTTTAAGGTACTTACAGGTCATTCCAATCAAAACCATCTCGGAGTAGCATACAATTCTCCCTCACAAGTCAGGATAAAAACAAAACAAAAGACAATATGTAGGATAAATAAAACCATAAAGTTAAGCATATTATGTTGCAGATAAAATGGCTGGTTTTAAGTTAGATAATGTTGGTTTTAATTGGTTTTCCAACTGTAGGCTACCCAGAGTTGTTTGGGAGTTGGACAATCTATAAATTAAATGCAAATGTTTTTTAAACAAGTGTTAAAAATGAAGCATGAAAGGGATTACTGTAATCTCCTTGGAATAGATATATATTGGAAGCATTTGTCCATGTGATCATTAGGAGTTGAACTTGATAACTATCTAACAAAACACCTAACTAATATAACTAGGATAAAACAAATTATTTTTTTCTCTATAAAGAGTCTATATTTAACAATATAACAAGAGTCTATATTTAACAGCCGCCCAGAGTCCTTGGAGAGTGGGTGGCATAGAAATATGACTAATAAAATAATAAATAAATAAATAAATAAATAAATAATTGTTTTTGTTAATTCTGATATAGAGTTGACCTTTTTTATATAATCTCATCTTTACATTTTTATTATCTAGGCTCTCACAAGTCTGTTTTTCTAAGGAACATGTTGAACAGCAGATGGTAGTACTTCAAAAAACACCACCACCACCACAATGCATTGTAATCTGCATTTCAACACATAGACCCTAGTAAGTAAGGGGCAATAAGCTGACTTTGTATAAATATACAAAAGTATGAAGGCTATTGCTTAACGCACTGTAAGCCGCCCTGAGTCTCCGGAGAAGGGCGGCATATAAATCAAATTAAAAAAAAAAAAAAAAGTCTTTATTCTTTTAGGTCTATTTTCAAGAACTAAATCCTAGACAACAATGTGATAAAACAAAAACTATACTGTAGAGTCCTAGCAATGGATTCAATTAATATTCTATGTTAAAACCAGGAAACATACTGAAATAAGATTTCAGTTTTTTAAAAATGGTACTTTACAGTTATTCCATACAAGTGTTTACTTTGTAGTATAAATTGTTTCATAACAGATTTTAGGGCCAGTTATGGAAAATCAAATTATAGTACGTTATAAAGGGGAGAATGAGGTATTCAAACATGTTTTCTGATAGGGTAAAAAAGCCAGTCTATACCTCATGAAATGTCATCAAACTGTAGAAGACACAACATCAAATATAAGCATTTGATAAGACAAACATAAACTTTAGTATGGTCACTAATCGATAAAAGTACATTCAATAAAATGAACATAAAACTAACCCCTAACAACAAGAACTATTGGAGCCATGTGTGGGTGATCTTATACATAATGTAGCAAAATTTTGCTATGTTTAGAGAAATAAGTTTAGCTTAATCGTTTACAGTTAGTGCAAATAAAAATAATCAGACATGCAAGATGGATTGTAGAGGAGGAAGATCCAAGACAGCAAAATGAAAACATCTTATTATCAAAGAGCACTGGCAAATTTCTATTTTTGTTTTATATTATCAGATTAATCCCCATTTAATTACCAGTCCCTGTGCATAACTGTATAACGAATAATCTTCAAACAATTGGACAAGAACTGTTTATATTCTAATGCCAAGAGAAGATTACAACAGAGAAGATTATAACATTGGAAAGAGGTTGACATGACAAAGATGGCATGCAGGGATTGCTCAAACCAAAATGGCCCGGTGGAATTTAAAAAGAAGGCTTCTGAAAATGAAAATGTAAGTAATGACTACACCAGCATTAGCATTATCAATAAACCAAGCTCTGGGAACACTTCAAATACAGTATATATGATGTGTTGAATTGGGATTTACAAGATTAAAGTGCAGAGGACCACCCCATTGGGGAACCAAATTCCCTAAATATCTATGGAGATTCTCAGTCTTGGGTCATGGTTGTCCCAAGAAGCTGAAGAAGCAAAACATCTTCAAAGAAAAACCAGAAAGTCCAGTTGCCTCTTGAAAAAGCACCTTAGATGTAATAGTTCCGTCTTCTGAGGCACCTGCATACTTGACTGCAGCATTTAGCAACAAAAAGCTGCCAGGAAGACATTTCAAAAAATGGGACTACAGAACCTTTGTCTAGGCAAAACTTACTAATTGCATGGACTGTATTATCAGTCTTTGATTATTTAACAGAAATAAATGATCATTGTTGAAATGATGAACATTTAGGGAAGGTTCACACATTGTTCTAATCCCAAACCACTTGTATTTATACTATCACACCACATCAAAGTGTAAGTGATGACTTGGAACTCAGTATGACTTAGAATGTGGACATTTATTTATTTGTTTGTTTATTTATATATTTTAGTCTTGGCATCTATTCATTTAAATATATATATATGGCTCCCCATCTTAAGAAATACAAATCTATCTTATCCATAGCAATGGTATGGAACCAAAACATCCTATTTGTCGTTTGTCTGATTGCCTTATACTTTGCCTACCTGCCCAATAGTTCAGGTAGAATGAGGATCTCTTTTTGAAAGGACTGTGTGCAGAAAAACAATGCATGTTTCAGTAAAGGAATTTCTCCCTCATCAATTATAATTGACATCCTGCCCAGTTTCCTCAGAACAAAAGAACACCACTTCTTCACTGCTTCGGTGAAGATCTAGATACAGAAGGCTGAGAAAGAGAGGATATATCTTTTTGAAAGTATCTTTCCAAGTATAGCTTCTTTCACATCTTTTCTTAAAACTAGACCATGCAGTTAACTAATGCCACAATATATTGGGTTTAGCTAGAAGAAAAGCCAATCATTACAACCTGAACAATTGAAGGAATAATTCTTTGATAGAAGGGAGAAGATAAACACAGTGTGCATGCCATTCAATTGTGTGATCTTCCAAACATACAGAATGCATTTAGAGATGATAACCTGCCACAGACAAATCACCATAGCCAACTTGCCATGGGCAACTAGCTGCAGGACAACTTGCCATGGCCATCTTGCCACAGGAAACTCACTGCGGGAAAAGAGTTACACTAATATTCTACACTAAGAATTACACTATGTTACACTAAGAAATGGTGGAACAGAATCATTAAAGAAAGGGTACAAAAGTAGGGGTAGAATGAAATTTGAATGGCAAAAATTAAAATAATTTTATTTATTTTAAATAATTAAAAAGAATTGTTAAATTGTCCTGCAATGAGTTGTCTTGCAGTGACTTGGCTGTGGTGAGTTCACCTGCTGCAAGTTGCAAGTTAGCACTACACTGCAAGTGGTGAGTTGGCTGTGGTGAGTTGGCCGCAGTGAGTTTGCCACAGCAAGTTGGCTGTGGCAAGCTGTCCCATTCATTATGCAGATAGAGTTTTGGTTGGCCTAAAAAAAGGAAAGAACAAGATGGAGAGATCTGAATGTACGTAAGTTCCTGAACGATGGAATCTCAGAACAGGGATTGCTATACACAGAGAAGAAAACAATACTTCAGTGAATTAGCATTTCTAAGGAAGAAGACAAAAAGATAGTTCTGCTAATCATAAAAGATTGCCAAATGCATCTGACCAAGTGCCCTTGATTAATTTAATAAGAAGTTAAGAAAAGTTAAGAAATGTAACTTTTGCAGGCAGAGGAGGCAATATAGTAGATAATAACTGAGCCATGAGTTTTCATGGTTGAATGTAGGCTTGAACCTGGGTCTCTCTGGTCTCAGTACTCATTTTAAATTGCTTTTTAAATAAATTATTAATCATACCGGTCAATTTCAGATGGAATAGCAAAACATAAGCTGAGTAAATATTAGTACAATATATCTTGTTTTTACATGACACTTACATATGAATGGACTGCTTGCAACAGAGCAACTCATTCATGACATGTGTGAAGCACCATTCTAATTTTGGTGAGGGGACGCATAAACATTTTTTTAGTTTTTTTAATAGAATTTTAAATATAATTCTGTTAACCAAATCCTTACTTTGAAATAGTGCTGTATTATCAAAAACAAAGGAAAGTGTAAATATAAATAATACAGTTTTAATCATAAAAGGATTGTGATATATTCACTGTATACCCTACCAGAAAATAGCCAGGAATTCTCTTTTCACAGCTTTCATTGAGTTGCTAATAACAAAACCACTAAGTGACAAGAGCTTCAGTGCCAGGTGAAGAAATGTGCCAGTTTTAATTATCCAGATTGTCCTACAGCTACCATACTATGTTTATGCCACTGGCAATGTGGAGAAATCCCTAACATTTAAAGAAAATAAAAATGTGTCATGTCTTATTTTCCTAATCACAATTCCAAATTATCGCTATTGATAATTATATTATCAGTGCACAGCTGAGATCAAAATAGTTGGGGGAGTTGCCTCTTTTTATGTGCATAAGTATGTTTCCATAAATATACATGATACTGAGGGAGAAATATTGGGTATTTCAGAGCAGGAATGCCAATTAATATCAATAATTAATGATGTTGCATTTTGTACAAAAGTAAGTTATCTGTTAAACTTGGAAAGAAGTGAAAATTTAAACTGTAGAGGGTTTATTTCATTTGTGTTTACAGAGAGCAATCAGCTAATTTATATGTCTTTATGTCTATGTATTAAATATATTTAGCTAATCATGTTATATTCAAACATGCAGGTAGCTTCTGGCAAGTTCAAGACAGTTAAAGGAGTGATCCTGAAGAGTTCTCTCTACTTGGTTTGAGTAATGCTGCAGATCCAATTTGGAATACAAGCGGTCAGAAATTTTCCCAAGAATGCACAGCCTTCCGTTTGTGAAAATCAAGGTAAAACAGATGAAACTGGTTTAGTGAGATTCAAACCAGTGTTGCAGTTGCACTTCCATGCACTCAAAAATACCTCTTTGAATCAAACATAAATCATTGTATAGCACAGAGTTGTCAAACTTGTGACCTCTGGGCCAAAATGCTTCGTGCATTGGCCACACCCAGCCTTAGTTTATTGAAGGGGGTGGGGAGTCACAATACATCACATGATGACAATGTGACACCATGAGTTTGACACCCTGGCATAGCACAATGAAGCCTAGAAAATATGTATAGATCTAACTTTGCACTCAAACAAATATAACAGAGGGGCAAACTAGATGATGCATTAAATATCACATGGTCATCCTTCTGACTCTTTTTAGGGAAAGTGATTAGTAATCCAAATAAAATCATTTACTTGTATGTGTGATCTTATTATTATTATTATTTTTGCTCTGGTTGTTTTAAATATTAATAATATTTCTATTATTTAATGGCAATATAATTATGATTCAGAAATGCTATGTACACATAATAGCCAGACTCTACTATTTTAGTTTCTAGTTATTAACAATTAATAATTCAAACCTTTGTCAAACCTCCTATTGCAATTCTCAGATCCAATTATTATGTAAGAAATTATCTTTCAACTACATAATTTCTCTAAATGAAAGTTCCATAAAATTTTAAATATTTGTTTCCATTGGCTATAGTAAAGGGAATATTTAAGATATTTAAGAGTTTGTTTTATTGACTCATCCATAAACAAATATGAACAATGGTAATTCTATCAAAGTGTTTACTATAAGTAGACTTCTTTTCTCAAAATCTGAAAATATGACTGATACAAAAATAAATTAACCAGATAGGCATTAACTGACAAAGTCTATCATGCCTAACCACACAGCACACATGCAATGAAAAGTGATACTTCTTTCATACTACCCTATAATGTATTTTCATTCATGCATTGCAAAGTTGTTTCAGTAGTTAACCATACAAGGGAGTCGATATACTAATCAATCACGGAAAATAGCATATGCACACTCATTTCAGTTTAACCAGACCTAGCTGTCTTTTTCAGCAAACACAGATCGTACATGAAGAAAAATAAATTCTATTCCATAATTGATAAGTCCCCAGATGTTGACTAGAGAAATGCTTCAATTTTAAGATCCCCTTGTGCTTAATTTCACATATAACCTCCACTTGAAGAGCTGCCTATTTCAATTCAGAGATTAAGAAACAGGAGAGCACAGCCATAAAGTTCCTAGAAATTACTTCTGTAGGCCCCAAATTAATCATGCATAGAGATTATTGTAGCATATTTTTCTATATTATCCTGATATTTACAAGTATTTCTATATGTAAATTGATACATATTATATCTCAGTGTAGACAGTTTTGAGACTGCAGCAGGATATAAATGCAATTATTTTTAAATGGACTCAAATAAACGTTCATTGCCATATTTAAACAAATTGATCTTAGCTATTACACTATTTTGTGATGCTCGTTTTTCTACCTTTTGGGAAAAATTGTTCTATTTGATCTATTGAAAATCAGAAGGTATTGTGTCCAACCATTCAATATCCCACTGTCCGCATGCTTCAGATATCCTTTTACCAAATTCATCCACTACGGAAATGAACATTCCACTTTTAAACAGTTTGGCAAAAAGTCATGAAATAATAAAAGCATTCTTAGAAGACTTTTTAAAAAAAAACTTCATTTACAAAGCGATGCCTGACAATATAGATCCATCCATAACAAAATACCTGTGAGAATGCAAATCTTGATCAACATTTGATCCAGTTATTTCATGGATATGCATAGTAAAATTTACCTTCCTATCCGGCCAATTATATTTTTCAAATATTGCATCATATGTATCCACCGCACCATCAGTAATCAGCATTATGGCTTGACTGCAGATACTTCCTTGTCCTGTGTGGTTGAACTAGGAAACAAAATAAAATATTATTTGGCTTTTGACAAACCTAGTTAGGCTTTTGCTACAAGATACTTGTGCTTCACTGAGTATTTCCATCTAGAAAAAGTATATTTCATTTCTTATTTTGATGGAGTACAGTAGTCAAACATATTCCACATTTAGAGTGATATACTTTAATCAATACAATGTCGAATGGAATATTTTTTATAGAGGAGCATCCATTCCATCAAAAAGTCAGTCTGGAAATTGCAAGCCCCAGGGCATGAACTATTTAATATTTCTGCTTGAAATATGTCAAAATATTAGCAATCATTTTTAATGATCAAGTGAGAGGGAATATAAAACCAATTTTATATATCACCTCATCATCAAGGTAGTTTGCTTACTTTATGGGCTTACTCCCATTTTTATTTACAGTATATGTATACATAAATACCGTAATTTTCGCTCCATAAGACACACTTTTTCCACCCAAAAGTGGGTGGAAATGTCTGTGTGTCAGTGACAGTCCTTTGGTGAATAGCTGGGCCGCAGCACCAGGGTTCTTTTATAATGCTGAACCCCGCCTCTTCTGTCTTTGCCACTGTCCACCTCTTCTGTCTCTTTTCCGCAGTGCAGGAGTCAATAGGCAGAGCTGGCACATGAGAGGACACCTATCTGTGGTCCTCTCAAGCTCCGTCTCATTTTTTTTTCTTGTTTTCCTCCTCTAAACCTAAACCTAAACCTTATGGTCAGGTGTGTCTTATAGTGCGGAAAATATGGTACATATGTGCATGTATGCATACAGTACATACATAGTGCTTCCTAATATTTTCAGTGCTCCTTGGCTCGGAGGGGAAGACTTTTCTTTGCTATTTTTTTTCTTTTATGGGATAAGGTTTTCTGTGGTCTCCATTCAACAGTGCATGAATGGACTTTTTGTTAGAAAGGTAACCAGGTAATAGTGAACAGATTCTACCTGCTAAAGGTTAAGATGAGAAAATAATGGAAAATAAAGGGGACAAACAGAATGATGGGAGAAATGGTTTAAAAGACACTGCATTTTCTTTCAGCATTGGGGTGCAAACTTTTGGAATTGGTGGCAGATTTAGGATTTTAATAGCTTGTCATCTCATTCTCATAAAAAAGCTGCCATATAGTCATATGCAATCTAAAAATTTCCATTTAGTAGAAGGCCATTTTTAAAATTGCTCCCATCACCTCTATTCTTGCCACAAACATACATGCATATATATTAGGGCAGGTGAGCAGGTGAGTATTTTCTGCCCAGACAAAATACAGAGTTGCAACTTCTGTTACTCTGCTGCTGCTCTGCTGTTGATAATTGGTGCTCGGTAGTTTAAGATATTAATACTTGCTGTTGATAATTGGTGCTCGGTAGTTTAAGATATTAATACTTGCTGTTGATAATTGGTGCTTGGTAGTTTAAGGAAGGAGGGATATGTAGACTGTAGCAGATACAAGTAATAATATATGTGTACACACTGGGCATGTATAAATTTTATTTTCGCTGTGCCAAGATAAAACCAGCCAACACTGAGATTATTATATGATGAATAAAACTAGAAAATCTATTTGCATCAGTGGCTCTATTTTAAAACTAAAGTAAGAACTAAAGATTAAAAAATACACAGCATATTAAAATAGTTTGGAACTGGGTCTTTTCATCTATTTATTTTACTGTAAATCATATTAGCTTGGATGGGTAAAGTTCTCTCGTGTGTATTTAAACATTTTTATTGAATAACAGAAATGATTAACATCTTTTCCAGACTAATAACAATAATAAGGGACCTTATGATGAACTATAATTGACTCAGTGATTTATTATTTAGCAGGGAAAATTTTAACTCATCCTGACATTTGGAGCATTTGTTTATGATTCTCTTCAAAATGTCACAGAATTTTAATTATTGGTTACGACTTATAATATATATATATATATATAATCATAATAAAAAAATAACGTTATTGGCAAAGGAGGTAATTGCATCTGTCACATGATATAATTCACACAATAAACCTGCAGGAGAAACTTGTGTTAATAACATAAATAATGGTTGGGAAGAATTTAAACTTAGCTATGAATACAATTTGGAGAATCATGAGGACAGTTAGCTCTTTGGCAAACACTAGGGAATGTGAGGCTTAGTTATTCTAACCTACAAAACAGTCTAAAAGTGAGACCCAACAGATGATCATATGAGTTCTGACCTATCATTTCAGAATTTGCAGGTTGCAATACTGCTACATTCAATTTTTAAAAAATGCTAAATTGTCCATATAAACACATTGCATAACTAATACAAATTCTAAAATGGAAAAGAAATATCAGTAAATTGTGTTCTAGGTAATGAAATCAAAAACAAAAGAGGAGGCAAAATTGATGAACTTACATCACTGAGCATATTGAAAGCTTCAACTAAGGCAATGTCCAGCATTCCGATCCCTTTTGCAAAAAGTTTGTCAAGGTGTTCCCTGAAGTGCTGCAGAAGAAACAGAAAGAGAATTTCAAGCAAATTGTTTCGGAAGAGTTCATTTTAAAACAATCTATTTATTAAAGTCAAGGAGATTTTCTCATTTGTAAAGAAACAAACTCATTTTTAAAATTTATTTTAAAGAGTCTTTCTTCTCCAGTTTTTAGAAGAAAATGTTACACTTATATACATATACATATACATATGTACATTCAAACCCCTGCATAGGGTAAGAAGAACTCAAATGAACAAATCCAAGAAAAGAAGAAGGTGATGACTTGATCACCAGGTGAAAAAGAATCCAAAACATGCTAAGTTGAGCTGTCAAGCTGAGTTATTTGATTTTACTAGGCATAACTGTTCCTTACACTGAACAAAAATCCCACAAATGTTTGGAAGAAAATAAGTATTTAGAAAGGTTTATTCATGTTATGCATTATTTATGTTATCACAGATTAATATAACCTTATTCTTGAATTTGCTATCAACAAAGAAACATCTCAGGATGAAATCCATCGCACACCAATGTTGTCTACCACATCATCTTTTAAATAAATAATACAAATTGTTCTTTCTTTCCCAAATCCATGCATTGTTTAGATTTAGCAAGGGAAAATTGATTATGAAATATATGAAGAAATTATATGCTGCTATGCCTAATATTAATTGTTTTTGTAAATTTCCTATAAAGAACATTTTTTGTACTGAAATAATGGATTCATACAGTTCAGTGAATGATAAAATTTTCATACGTTTAGAGGGGAGGGGAATCAGCTTAAGGCCATTTTGAAGCATATGTTACTCCCACAAACTGGGGCTGATTTTCCAAAGCAATTAGTGTAACTTAATGTTCATGTTGACCCAGTAAATTTGGTTTGTTCATCTCAGTATTTCAAAACATTCAAAATTTTGTTCAGCTCAATAAGCATTTAAGCTACAATAGAGTCAGATGCTATGGAATGGATTTTATATTTTGCTCAAATTAATCAATG